ATTTCCACTTCTTGACTGTTAGGAATACTTCTACAATGAATATGGGAGTGCCTAAATTTTAACTTCTGGGCCTGAATTCCTTTGATTGTCTCCATGTCATTTAGATCATATTGAAATGAATATATGAGTATTATTCTCTTTCACCTTCATAGTAGGAAGTGAACATTAATCAGCTATACATAAGATACTTTTTATTACTAAAGCAACCTGTGAAAACTGTGTAGAGAAAAGAGAGTGAGCATAAATGAATTCACTAAGATTTAAAAGTCTTTTTCCAATCTTGAGATTGTTTAATAGATTTCCCTCAAAACTAGTCTTTATAGGCTGAGAAAGTACAATCATGTTCTTCTCATGTACATCCTATTTGATATCTGTTCAACATGCAAAATGTATTAAATTAATTAAATTAACTAATACAGCAGTGTAACAAAATAACCCTGTTGTGGATTTTAAAAAAAAAAAACCCTCAAGTTTAGGATCCTTGTTTTTTTTTTATTTGTATGATTACTTTGTTACTTATGAGTTCTACTAAAATATTTTTTCAATATTCAACAAATATTGCTTTCTGTAAGATACCAGTGTTTCTCTTTTTATAAGTTTACACTCAAATTTCCTCTAAAGTATTATCTTTATTTGTTTTTAATGTTTATTAATGAATCTATTTTATATCTAAGGCATCTTTCTCTTTACAAAATAGCTTGATCACTCCTTCATGGATCTTGTTGGTCTTTAATCCATAGACAATGGGATTTAGAGTGGGAGGACATATCAGAGGTGAAACTATCAGGTGCAGGAATTTCAATAATGAGAAAATTTATATTACTGAGTCTATTTACTTACCCATTTTTGGTGAAATCAGATTTTTCTATTCTTGATTCAGTAGTTTTAGGTTCTACGTGACTAGAATTTCATAGGTTTCTTCTAGTTTATCCAATTTGTCTGTGTAAAAATAGTGACAATAATCTCATGGTATTTAAGTTTCTATGAATTCTGTTATAATGTTTCCTTCATCTTTTTTCCTTAATGTAGCTAAGGGTTTGACTATTTTGTTTGTCATTAAGAAAACTATTAGACTTATGGATCTTTATTTTTCTCCAGTATTAATTTCTGCCATGGTCTTTATTTTTTCTTTCCTTCTCCCAATTTGCATTTAGTTTGTTCTTCTTTTTTAAGTTTTTCAGTATATTATTAAGTTGTTTGAGATCCTTCTTTTACTTCTTTGATATAGGCATATATAGTTCTAAATATCCCTCTTAGAACTGTTTTGCTGCATCCTGTAAGTTTTTCTATGTTATATTTTTGTTTGTGTCAAGATATTATTTAATTTCTATTTTTTTATAATTTGTTGTTCCAGAACAGATTGGATAACTTCCACATATTTTTTTCTTATTTTATATGAAAGTTTTCTTATATTTCTCCTACTTTTGATTCCTACTTTCAACCATGGTAGTCAGAATGGATATTAGACATGATTTCAATCTTCTTAAATTTATTGACATGTTTTATGATATATACAGAAAATTGAGTTATGTGTCATTGAAAAGAGTGCATATTCTGCTGTTACTGGATTAAAAAACCACACCACTTTTAAACAAATCTCCTTTTTTGAATCAAATACCTTTTACTCCATATTTTAAATATAGAAGAGTGAATTCAAGGTTCCAGTGCATTGTGCAATCTTGCTTATTTATCACCTTTTCTCTAAGAGGACTTTGGAAATCATTTTAAGGTTGGCTCCACAGTTTAGCTATTGTGAATTGTGCTGCTGTAAACATTGATGTGGCTGTGTCCCTGTAGTATGCTGTTTTTTGGTCCTTTGAGTATAGTCCAAAGAGGAATAGCTGAGTCAATTGGTGGTTCCATTCCCAGCTTTCCAAGGAATCTCCATACTGCTTTCCAAATTGGCTGCACTAATTTGCAGTGGATGAATGTATAAAAAAAGTGGCATTTATACACAATAGAATATTACTTGGCACTAAAAAAGAATAAGATCATGGCATTTTCAGGGAAATGGATGGCATTAGAGAAGATTATGCTAAGTGAAGTTAGCCAATCCCCAAAAAACAAATGCCAAATGTTTTATCTGATATAAGGGGGGTGACTCAAAGTGGGGTAGGGGGGATAGCATGGGAGGAATATTACTTCTAGATAGGGAATAAGGGTGGGGGGAATGGGAGGGAGAAGAGGAATATCTAGGATGGTGGAAGGAGATGGTCATCATTATACAAAATACATGTATGAAGATGTGAATTTGGTGTTAACATAGCTTATATGCAAACAGAGATATGATAAATGGTGGTATAAAGGTGTATTAAGAATTGTATGCAAAAAAATAAGAGAGCTCATGTATAATGGCATAATTTGGAGTGAACATACTTTATATACAGAGTTACAAAAATTGTGCTGTGAATAGATGATTATGAATGTAATGCACTCCACTATTGTCATGTATGTAATAAATAAATCAATCAATAAATAAATAAATATTTAAATAAAATAACCATTCTTGGTTAAGAGATTAAAAAAAAATAATAATTTTAAGGGTTCCCCCCCCCCTTGGTTGGGGGATATCTTTATATGTCTTGAAAGAAAAACTTCATCTATGTTATTTTTCTCTTTAAGGGAATGTAAATTTGTCACTGACTGATAATAAGAGACAGAACTGTGTTAAGTAATATTCCGGTTAAACTTTTGGCTTCCTTTTGCCTATTCTGTGACACACAAACCTCAAGCAGTATTGGAAACTTGTGGGAGGAAGCAGGTCACGTGGTTGCTTTTGGTACTTTGTTTCCATTTTCATTGTATGTCACACGTGTGGCCATCTGAAATGGTTGGCTAAATGGTCCTTGACATCAGGAGAAGCAGGACAAGTTCATTACACTTGGGATCACTTCATCACTCCCTTCCTTTCCCTTTCATTAAGGATATTAATATTTCTTATGTTTAGAAAGAAAATTGTGGTTTTACTAAATTGAAACCTTGGATTTCTTTTAATCTAATACTTTGGTTCTAGATCTAATCAAAGTTTGTGAGGTTGGTATAGAAATAATAGGTTTTTTTCACCAAACTCCTCACTGATCTCTGTCTCATAAGCTAGGTATCTGGGTGCAAGATGGAATTTAACATGAGGCCTTTTATATCAATTAACTCTCCAGTCCTCTCTTCTCCTCTGTGTTCCCCCTCAACTGTCTCTCTCTTCTCTCTTGCTTTCTCTCCCATTCCACCCCATGAACAAGGATTAGAATTTGTTTCATTACCACCTACTTTATTGTTCTTTTAACAGTTCTCAAAGATTCCAGTATATGGGATCAATTCAGATATATCCTAATTTTTAGAGTTATGGCATTTTCCCTCTGAAACCCATTTTTGAGTTCATAACGGAGAACATAATAAAATCAACTGGAGATGGTTACTCACATGACATAGATGAATTTTATCCATCCATATTTTTAACTATGTTCTAGTTTTACATTGTGGCTATTAAATTTCCCCCATCTTCCACCCAATCACATAGACCTAAGAGCATTGTAATTATTGAATTTTAATCTTAATGCTCTAAGATGCACCCAATTTTGCTGCTCATGGTGTATATTATATTCCTCATTCATAAAGTAGTTATATTGACTTCATAATTTTGAAGAAAAATCTCAATGAAATTAATATATATGAAGAAATGGTATAATGCCTTACAATATGTGTATGTTTAAAACTGGCAATTTTAAAAAAGTATACTTTGAAGAGTGTGACCATATTTGGTGTGGCTTGAATGAGATTCCCTGATAAACAAAATTTACTCAATTCAAAAGCATAATTCTTAGAGTGCCTTTAATAATGAAAGCTTATAATGTGCATTACACAGAGACAGATATAATATTGACAAGCTTTAAAAATAATATTCGGGGTTTTGCTTCCAAACATGAAAATCATACTGAAAAAAATACATGGTATTATTAAGATATCTCAAAATCACTTGACCACATATACAACATGATATTAAAAATATATCTTTCATATTAACAGACAATAATTTTCATCATTATATTATCTTCATCAACTTATCTGTTCATATCTATTTCCTGAAAACATTCTACGTATTACAGTTATCCTTTGGATTGTGTCTTACTCTTTCACTGTTTAGTCAATCTTCCTATTTATTGAGAGTGGTATTCACTACTCTCAACATCTTATTCCCATTTCTTTTCTATAACTTTAGAAATCTAAATAAGGCACTCCTTTTTATAGTCCTTGGCCACATTGTTTCTTCCCCTACGTTAAAGTCAGAGCAATAAAGCATGGGTTTCTTTGCTTAGCCAAATATATAAATTTTCTTTACATTTTGTAAATGCCCTAGCACTGCCAAATAACATCCACTGTATTCTTGAAAACTCTTTTTAATATTAACTCTAAGGAGTACTTCCCAGAATGTGATAAACTTCAGTAACCATATTTATTGCAGCTATTTGTATACACAGTGGTACATTGACAAGAAGCCAAATAATTATTAAGGCAGCATAATGTCAGTGATAACAAGCAGGCAGAAATTTGATGTTTGCCCCTGGAATTGATACAAGTTTCATGTATATATGGAATAGAAAAGATGGCAGGATCCTTGGACTTCAACACAAGCATTCTGGAGAACAGTTTCCTGCTTCCCTGTAACAATGGGGACAGAGTGTGTCTTTTCCTTCCCAGTGTTCTTTATTCTCTGTGGTCTATCTGTCATCCTTTATTCTTTCCTAGATACTTCTTAGAGTGCCTAGAACACAGTTCATTCATCACCAAGAATTCACTTGAAGTTGAATATCTTATTGTTTCCTTCTTTATACACATTCCATGAGATCCAACTGAACATTAAAAAAATGTAAAAAGCATGTTTTGTGTTTTCTATCAAATCAGAGGTCTTGGATTAAATATTTTGTGATGGTTTCATGATTTTTTTTGCAGAATATTCACTGGTACTTTCTCCTAGAGTTACAATTTTGAATTTGGCAATTCCTCCTCAATAACATCCTTGAGCTTTATGTAAAATACAAAATTATATATCACATAGCCATCGCAGATTGAAACCTTCTTTCTCCTTACAAAACAATTTTATCACTCCCTCACAGATCTGCTTGGTCTTCACTTGTTGAATTGGACTGCCTAACAGGCACGGTCCCTAAGCCACATTGCTTGTTGTTTAATTAAACAAAAAGGGGGAGATGCTGAGAGCCACGGCCGAGTCTGTATGGCCCCTGGCATTTTGCCAACAGTATTGATTGACAGGCGAGGCATTACTATCCGCCTCTGCCGCAAATTTTGAGTTCTCGCACTATTTTGGAGTTCTCGTGGGGATTTCCGGGGATTCCCCGAGAGTTCCCATTGGTTGGGGAAGTGCAGGAGGAGGGATTTCCGGGAGAGATATTTCCGGCTGGGGGTTCCTGGACTAGCCGGCGTTAGGGAGGATTCCCCGGGAGCTGTGTGAAGTGTTTTCCTGCAGTTCAAAAATAAAGTTTGTTCCTGCTTCAGTGGCTCGTGATTTGTGCCCAGCCAGACTGCGGTATTCACTCAATTGGATTATCATAGACAATTGGATTCAATGTGGGAGGCAGCAACAGGTAGAGTTTGGCTATAAAAATGTGAACATGGTGAGGTATGGTGTATCCCTCAAAGCGGTGAGTGAAGAAGTTGAAGAAAGCTGGGACATAGGTGATGACGATAGCACAAATGTGTGATGTACAGGTACTGAAGGCTTTGTGGCGAGCATCTGAGGATGATAGATGAATTACAGCACGGATAATCATGGTATAAGATACGGTGATACAGAGTATATCAAAGCCCCCAATCACTATGACAGTTAGGAGACCATAGAGAGCATTAGTCCTGATATTGCCACAGGATAATTTAGCCATAGACATATGGTCACAATAGGTGTGTTGGATAAGGTTACCCCTGCAGAAGGGAAGACGCTTGATCAGGAAAGTAAATGGGACTGTGAGCAACACACTTCTAAAGAAGGTGGCAAACCAAACCTTGGTAATGGCAGCATCCGTGAGTATGGAGGAATAGCGTAGAGGGTAGCAAATAGCCACATATTGGTCCAGAGCCATGAGCACGAGCATGCCAGACTCTGTTATTGTCCACATGTGGATGAAACACATCTGTACAAGGCAGGCATTAAAGTCGATCTCTTTGAGACTGAACCAAAAGATACATAACATATTGGGAACAAAGGAAGTGCACGCAGAAACATCGGTAAAGGACAGCAAGGCTATGAAGTAGTACATGGGTCGGTGCAGCGCCTCCTCATGGCTGATGAGATAGATAAGGCCACAGTTCCCCACTACAGCAAGGATGTACATACAGCAGAATGGCAGAGAGATCCAAATGTGTGCGGCTTCCAGCCCAGGGATCCCATTAAGGATAAAGTATCTTGGTGTCAGGCTGGAGCTGTTGGCCTCACCCATGGTGATCAGCTAAAAATATAATACATTCTGTGCCAATAGAGGCATCCTGTACAAGAAGAGAACACTGAGATTATTTTGCTCCAGAGACAAAACATGAATATATATTTTACATGATATAAAGAATAAATTTAGGGTGAAATTTGGACCCAGATCAAGTTCTTTTATTGTTCTGAATGATGTTAAGCCTGTTACAAAATGGAAAGAATGTACATACAGTGCAAATATAGTGCCAAAACAATGGCCTGGCAGATATCATACAGGAAACTCTTTTTTTTTATGTACCTACTCAGGTTCCCATGCCAATCACATAGGCTGGATTTTGCCCCCTCAATCCGTTTCCAAATATGGACTCTGTTTATATAACATTAATTATCTTAACTATCCACAAAATTTCACTTCCTCCAAGAAGTCCTCTCACTTGAATCCACTGGGTTACCCTCCATTAAATTATGTGAGCACCTACTTACAAATCTATAATGTGGCTTAGTTTGATTTGTTTACACATGTAAGTATGAATTTTCCAAATGAGAATAATCAGAAAGTGAAAACACAATGAAGCAAAAATCAAATAATTTCTTACAATTGATAAAGCATAATCATGTGCATTTTACAGAATAATTCAAATTATTTTTTGCTCATAAAATATGAATAATTTTTTATAATATTTATACTTAAAAAACAACATTGCTAAGCTTTAATTAATTATCTTCTTCCTGTTCTTTTCAAATACCTCTGTAGAAAACTATGATTATAAAAATATTATGCATATAATGCCTATATATTTAATCACAAAAATATATATATCATGCTATTAATCCATTCTTATAAAATGCATTATAAAAATTTGTGTTCTTTTGGAGTTTGACTTTTATTCTCGAAATCACCAGAGACAATTATGTTCAGTAGGGTATAATCCTTATTTTGTTAGTCTATGTTTTAAAAATATTTCTTTCCATCATTCTTCTTTATTTTCAGATTCTATCTTGAAAACGATCCTGATTAAAATCATAACACTTTTACATTCTTTTAAAGAAAAATCTTCTTTCCCTTATATTAAACAAATATTTCCATAGTTTTTATGGTTTTACATTATCAACCTGAGTTATCCATTTTTCATACACCTGCATATTTTATTGCAATTTCACAATTCATTTTATTTATATCATTTTAGATATTTTAATCTCCTGCAAATAAAAGCCATTTCCTAACTTTTGTTGCTTTTCTCTCTCCTTTCTGGTAGAATTTAACCTAGAATTTCTTTCTTTCTTTCTTTTTTAAACCACTAGGTTGAATCCATTGAGAGGTTTTCAAAACGGTGGCATATATACAATCTAAAATATAAAAAGTAAAATAAAATCTGGAAAGCAGAAAAAGATTAGAAAATAGAGTTTTAAAGCATTTTCCTCAATTGTAAAATGCTCTCAGCATTAAGTAAACTATAAAAATTTTCAGTACAACTTGGAATATAGACAACAAAGTACATAGTACTATCAGAATTATTTTTAATACAATTAGCATGAGTTTTGCTCTGTCAAATAAATGTAAGTAAAATAATCTCTGGCCATTTCTTAATCCCTCCTTCCATCCCACTGAGAGCAAAAACTGACATCTTATGTTTGTTTACAAAATCCTGTACAATTAGGAGCTTTTAAATGTCTGACTATGTCCCAAATATCCTATCTCTGACACTCTCAGTCCATCTTTATCTCCTGAGATTTCTCAAACTCAGCAAATGTGTGCACTTATGACATTTCCACTGGCCATTTTCACTGCTTGCTGTGATCTTCGTAATATAGGACCATGGCACATACCTTCTACTGATTCAGATCTCTCTGCTCAGTGTCATCCTCAAAGCAGAGCTTTCCCGCCTCCTAATTTAAAACTCCAACTCCCAGACCCCCACCCATCTTGGCACAACATCTGACTTTACAGCCTTTCTGTACTCCACAGCCATTAGAAACATGTTGCCCCTCAACTACTAGTTGCATTAGTAGTGCCTTTTGTAAAACTTTTAGAACTTTTGTCTACTTTGTTCACTACTAAATCTCAGCAGACGAAAAAAAAAAGTCATATAATGAATGAATGGATCAACAAATTCCAAATCCTCCTTTTTGGTTGGTCCTAGTGTTTGTATATAGATATCGTAGAAAATTAGTATTAAACATTGAAAAAACAAGACTGGATCTGGAGAAGGCAAACATAGTTTCAAGATGTCTTTCAGACAAGTATCTCCCCTTTCCTTGTTTTCCCTCCCCTGCTCCCTCTGGTAATCCTCACTCTTCTTTCTACTTCTCTGTGTTAAACTTTTTTAGATTCCATTTATAAGTGATAGAATATAATATTGGTCTTTCTTTGTATTGCTTATTTAATTACCCGAACATCTACTAGATTCATCTAGATTGTTCCAATCACAAAAATTCCTACATTTTAAAGGCTGAATAGTAATTCATTGTGCACATACACTGAATTTTTAAAAGTCCATTCATCCATCAGTGGGCACTGCAGTTGTTGCCACATCTTGACTCTTGTGAATAATGCTACAATGAACATAATGAACATGGGGATATTTTTTAGAACATTTTGTGCTGCCCAAGAAATATATAAATGTAAATGAACAATCAAATAGAAAAGCAGTTTATTGCTATGCCTAAATACTGCTTAAGACCAGTTATAAGGAAATATTGAAAATTAATAATACATCATTTTACTTAAATAACATTAAAATATTTCTCCATCTTTATGGGGTTGTCACAATGCCTTCACCACCACTCAAAATCTGTAAAAAATTGTGAAAAAAAGTATTGAAAAATAACTGAAAAGGCTTTTAAATCAAATACTTTATTTAGTACTGTTGATGTCACTGCAAATATTTGCATTTCAGTGATATCTGTATACATGATGAAGATAGTACTGTAAATCAGACTTTTGAGCATTTTCCAGTTACACATATTCTGAAATCATTTATTTGTAAACCTCCTTTTAATATGATAAACCAATAATTGTGAAATAAAATTGACATTTCCTATAGAAATACGTTTATTCCCATTTTTAGCTATTATCTTGAAAATATACATTTGCCATCAATATTGTATGTTAGCTGTCTTAAGAAACATGAACATATGACTACTAATTAGCATTATTTTCAAAAATTGAGAAAGTACAATAATGACAACCTGCCTTACATGGATTAAGTTTACTCATTAAATTGTAACTATATCACAATTTAACATATAGTATAATTATTTAAAATTTGCTTATTATGCAAAACACCCATACATATCTAACATGCACTAAAAAAAGCTTTTATTGCAAAATGGAAAATAAAGAATGAATAAAATTGAAACTATTAAGAATTGAGAAGTGCATACAGCAGATGCATATAAATATGCTCCTTGTATTATTTTACATACTTGAAGGGCATATAAACAGTGAACAGAAAATTACCCATAATGTTACTCATTTATGCAGATAAAGTAACATGAGAAGTTGATGAGATCTCTGTCATAGATGTGTTTCAGAAAAGAGAAAATGACAAGAAGATGAGCTACAGATCACTGCAATATCTTGCAACTCTTGAACTAATTCATTTCCATTGGTAGATAGCTTACACTTCCCACAGAAGACTCCTCATTTTATGGAGAGAAAAAAAAGTTTTCCTATTATTTTATGGAAATAAATTTGAAAGAAAAGGAAGAAAGATGCTTGCCTGTACACATCAGCTTCATGGTGCCTTTTTCCTCCAGTGCCTGAACAGCATTTGATTTCCCTCTTTCATGTCCCTTCTCAAAGCAATTTGCAGAATTCTAAAGAGAGATAATTAAGAATCTTCTTTATGCAGCCTCCATCTGACTTAAATGCCTTTTATTTAGTAGCACTTTTTGGTGCATCTTATATTTGTTTTCTTCTGTTTCATCTAAGCTCACCCTGATGCCAGATGTTTTTAAATATCCACTCATGACTGATATTACTCACAAATAATTGTGCTGTATTAATTAGGAACCTTCTATATAATAAACAGTCTTTTCTCTGGGAATCTTATAAGGTAAAGTACAAAAGTTATGATTCTACATTTAAGGTGCCATAGATTTCTATGAGGCAGAGGAGCTAACTTTACCTTTGTGAAAACAAAATCCACATTTTGAATACAATGCAACTTACAATAGCCAAATTAAGGAACCAGCCCAGATGCCTGTGAACAGTTGAGTGGGTGAAGAAGCTGTGATCTATATGCACAAATAGAGTTTTACTCAGCCATAAAGAAGACTGAAATTATGAAATTTGCTAGTAAATGGATGAAACTAAAGAACATCACCATAAGTGAAAAAAGCCATACTTAGAAAATTAAGTATCAAATATTTTCCCTGATATTCAAAAGCTACATAAAACTAATGGGGTAAGGGAAGACCTTGTGAAAATAGAAGATAAATCAATTGAGTAGATGAAAGGAATACAGAGGTAAACAGGAGGGATAGGAAAAAAGTACGAACTGCGGAATGAAATTAACCAAATAATATTATGTACATGTAATATTATACCACCGGGAATTTTATCTGCATGTATCCTTATTAAGAATCAACTTCAAAAAAATAAATAAATATAAAGGCAGATCAGTAGAACCGAGGAACATGCATGGGGAAAGGGGGAGGGAAGGGAAAGAGCAAGGACTTATTACTGAATGAAGCCAGTTACATTCCATGCATGCATGATTATGTCAAAATGAAACTCACTATTTTGTATAATTATAATACACTAATAAAAACTAAAAAAAAATCTTCCTGAAGTGGATACATTGTTTTTGACCTGTTTCTTAGGTGTAAACCCATACACATCAAATGAGGGATTATTTTTTCTTCTTTTACTTATGAAAGTGCAAACACTTTACACTAAAAATGACATAACTTTATTAACATGTCAAAACTTGACTTCAGGTAAGAAAGAGTTTTAGTTTAATTTTTTTCACATGGATTAATTGCTTTTTAACTGTTTGTTGTTGTTGTTGT